TGCAAGATAAAAGCGATGCCGGACGCACCTGGCAGTTCGATGGTTTCCTTCATCTGGACCCGGGAGTTAACACCGCAACGCTTAAGATCATCGATCACACGGATGCTCCCGTTCTTCTTTTCGATAGCCGCAATTCTGGAGACTATGAATCCTCCATGAATCGCTGGCGAAGTAGCTCAAACTTTCTCCGTCGTCAGAACTCTCAACGTCCCGAGCGTTTGGCCACCAACCACTGGAACTAACTGGGGATGTGATGCCGATATTCACTCCGCCTTGCAACATTATTTCGTCCAAGAGTTCTACGTCTTCGGACTCGTCGATATCCGCAGTTGCCAAGAGCATCGCTTTCAGAAGCCCGGCTTGGAAATCACAGTCTTGAATTGACGACTCTGACACGTGTAGTAGGTCACATAGATTTTCTCTTAAAGAGGTAGCAGCGGTGGCTAACGTTGGGCCCAGTTCATCCCATACATGCTGCTGCTTGCCCTGCTCCTCACGGTCGAGCTGCATCCATTTCAGAAGACTGTCACCAGCTCTGGTACTGAGTATCTCATTTGTCGCTCTATCGAACATATTTCTGATCTCCACCAGCTGATGAGGGGGCTCGAGCTGGTGAGCAGCAGATCCTTTCAAATTACCCCAGTCGCATTTAGAGGATTTCGCTGTTCCATCCGAAATCTTCTCCAATAATTCAACCTGCTCGGACTCTGCCAAAGCAAAAGCCGTCTTGTAGAGATCGATAGCACGTCGATCAGCCAGATGATCAACGCTCTTATGGGGGCCAAAAGGAGTCTCTTTACCGAGAGGTGAAGTGATAGACAGCACCGATGCACGCCCCGACGGCTTGAACGCTTTGGGGGTCTTGGCCCGCAGCAATGCCCGCCTAGTGCGTTCTTTAGCCTTACGGCGACGGAGGGCTGCCTCACTACGCAGACGTTTAGCCATCGAATAGAAACAAGCAAACTACATTAGGTTTTCATTTGACCTCTACTACATGCTTCAATTTTTTTTGTTAGAATTTTTGCATGCCGGCTGCACGTATCCTTCGTATTACGAAGTTCGTATGCCATCGTGAATCAGGATTCGTAATGGGCACGTCAGGTGTAGTATACTATACTAGTATGATTCTGTTGACTCCTATTTCTCATTGTAACACTCATAGACACGCAAAACAGAGCAATCTCACGAAACGGAAAGAAAACTACTGAAACGACACACGATGAAACACACGCCTATGTTGGGTCAGTCACTGAGCACTGATCATC